GGAAGGAGGAAAAAGGGCAAGGGAAGGGGAAAAAAAACTAAAAAAAAAGGAAAAAAATTACTTGAAAAAAAGAAAAAGCTCTAAAAATAGCAAAAGGTTTTAAAAAAGCAAGAGGAGGGGGTGTGGAAAAAAAAGAGGAAAGAAACCCCCACCCACCCAGGAACCACCACCACGAGGAAGAGGAGGAGGAGGAGGAAGGGTAATTAGCCAGGAAGGTCAACCCCCCCCCCGCAAATTCGCCTTCATTGGGCTCCCCCATTAGGAGCGTCTCGTCGGGACCCCCACCCCCGTGTCTGACCCGTGTTTCTCTTTCCCCCTCCCCCGCTTTTTAACGTCTCTATTTTGTCCTCCCCACTTTCTAAATTTAATTTTCCTTTTTTTTTTGTTTCCCCGTCGCCTCGTGTATATCTTAAACTCATTCCCCCTAGCTTGCTGTGGGGTTTTTTTTTCCCTCAGCCCTCCCCCATTTAATGCCTATTTATTTAGTTATTTATTTATAATTTCTTATCCCTCTCCCCTTTTTGGATTTTAGGAGTGGAAATCTTTACAAGGAGAGAGTAAGAATCCACTCCCCCTCCAAAGACTCTCACACACTTGCTCAGAGTCTCCCTAATTTGTCTTTCCCGCTCATTTATTTCTAGCCCCCCTTTTTAAAGAGAAAGGCAGAGTTAAAATATTTTAAATAAATTAGTGAGGGGTGTTTTTTTGCTTCAACCTAATGCCCTTTGGCCTCATCTTGATGGGCTTGTTATAATTTGCTGCCTTCCTGTGTCTTAAATAAGTGTTTTGTTTGTTTTTAAATTTTGTAACAAAAATCCCTTTTTCTGCCTGCTGGGTCTTCAAAGATTGTAACAGAAATATCTTTTTATCTGCCTGCCAGGTTTTTCTGGAGGAATATTTGTTTTGTCTGTTAGGACAGCCAGCTGAAACCTGGGGCGGTTTTTATCTGTCTTGCATTTTAAAAAAAGAGAAACTTTTGAGGAAGTGTAACCACAAATACATGGCAAAAATGATACAAAGTTTCTGACTTTTCTGTGTTTTTTTCCTTTTTTAAAAAGAGGGGAAAGTTGAAACTGCACTACTGTTTGGAAAGCGAGGTGCCTCCCTGGATATTTTGAAGGAAACACTGAAAGAGACTTAAATTATATTTTTGAAGGTAGAGTTGGAAGTTTTATTTTTAGAGTTATTTAAATTCCTTTCGGAAGTATATTGATTTTGGGCTTCTTTATTTTTTTTCTGGACCTGAAATAGCTTTCAGCACAGTCCTATATCGGCCCTTCTCGAATATTAATTGCCTTTTTGAATGTGTACTGCTTTTCTCAGCGCTTTTCCTTGTTCCCCAGTAAAGAGAAAACGTTGAGCCTTCTCTCTTAACTCTGCCCTCTCTGCGAACCTGTAGAATATTAGTTTTTAATAAAAGGTTTTATTGGAAAGAAGTACTTGAACATAGCACAGCACCTGGGTGTGTGAAGATGGACACGGCAGCTGCTAGCTACCCGATGGCCTCCCTCTACGTGGGTGACCTGCACCCTGATGTCACCGAAGCCATGCTGTATGAGAAGTTCAGCCCTGCAGGGCCCGTGCTCTCCATCCGTGTCTGCAGGGATATGATCACCCGTCGCTCTCTAGGATATGCTTACGTCAACTTCCAGCAGCCAGCCGATGGTGAGTGGTGGCCTGCCTGGAGGATGCCCTCTTTTGTGCCGAAGGGTGGTCTGCTTTCCCTGGTGTTCCCTCTACCTCCGCTGCACAGGTTTTATTTTCACTGGAGGTTTTTCACGCCCATGTATTGAGGTGCAGGGTGGAATTCCACAGTCCTTGTTATTCAGTGGACCTTTTGGAGATGGGGCGAAAGAAAGCTTCCTCTGTGATGGTTGGCTTTCCGTGACTCCTCAAGAGTCTGGATGGGAAAAGGGATCCGTTGTGCCAAAAGTGTCTGGAGCTCAGCGATTCTTGAGGAGCTCCTCTTGGACATTGGTTTGGAGTTAAAATCCTTCTGTGCCATCAATTCACTTCCAGTTTAATGGGAACCCTGTGAATTGTCCTTCCATTGAAGGACAATTTTTAAAACATGTGCCCAGGAAAAATGACACTTGGAGAAAGATGTGGCATGTTTCCACCTTCACTTCCTTAAATGTAAAATATATTTTCTGCTAGAGTTCTTTGTGTTCAAAAGGGATGGACTTCATTAATGTTAATTGATTCACTAGAGCCCCATAATGTAGCAATGAACTTAGAAGTTACCTCTCCCCCCCCCCCGGGGGGTGGGGAGAAATTAAAGGAAAAGCATGTGAAGTAGGAGGATTGTATGTATCTGTGGATGATGCCTTTGGGGGTCTCGGTATGAACTGTAACGTAGCATGTAAAGGTGGGTAGATGGGTGCTTTTGGAGCATCAAATAGTATTACAGGTGCTGAGCTGTAGAAACTGCAATGTGAATATGATGCAGTGTTGGAGAGAAAAACAAAAATGCCCCTCGCTGTTTCTGAATGATTTCAAGGACAGTTCTACAGGCAAGGACCAGTTTATTTCCCAAGTGGTGGTGGAATCTCCCTGTTCTCTTTCTGTTTCTGCTTAAAGTGCAAATGATGTGTTCTGGGAGCTGCCATCCTTGCCCGTCAGGGAGCACCTCTTCTTCTTGTTATAAATAAACACTGCCATATTTAACTAGCCAGGCTGGGGTGGCGCTTGGAATGGAACGCCCTTGGCTGAAGCCAGACAACTGATCCGTCTCTCCCTTCTGCAGCTAAAATCATGGTGCTTCTTTCAGTAAATGATCAGGGACAAGGGAAAGGGTATGCACCCTGAAAAATGCCAGTCCTTTCTCATCCTGGGGCACTGTTAACAGAGCCCAAGTCCTCTGTCAAGAAGGGTAATGCAGGCAGGACTTGGAAAGCAAGCTGTCCCTTTCTGTCTCAGCCCTGGCCCAGAGGAACAGAGCAGAGATTTGGGAAGAAGCAGCCATGTCAGCAGGTGGCCATGAGTGTTCGGTGTTTAAGTACTCTTTCTAATCTCTTGGGAATGTTTGTGGAGAACTGTGGTTATGGAGACAGGTTGCGTGATAGTGGGTGGTTGTAGTCAGCTTTTTGGATGAGAAACACAGCTGGGTCGCACCCACCACCATTGACTAAACTAAGAAGGACTTGTAGTGGGTCAAGGAGGTGACTTCCAATTCCCTGAGTTCACCTGTGGGTACCTGTCCACAAATCCACCCATGCACCATCATTCTGTCCTTCCCACCTACACTCACTGACCCATGCTCTCTTCCCTTCTGTGGCGCTAGCCCTGATGGTCCTTTTTGGCCAGGAGACAGAACCTGTTGGGTTCATTTTATTGCTCCAGGGTGATTGGATTAGGGCACAGTAAATCAAGGGAGTGCCCTCTTTCTTCTGGTCTCCCTTCTCCTATTATAAATTCGCCTATCCTGTTCATTGTAAAGCAGACTCCCAAGCCGCTGCCTTGTATGTGAGTAGGTCACCGTGCTTTTAATATTCTTCTCTGTACAAAAATAGAATCCTGAAGGAGGATTAGAGTGGGTTTCCTGACAGCCGGGGTTTTCAGATGTGCTGGTTTTGACTCCCTGCTAAGCCCAAGGAGGCCTTCCCTGTTTCTTCACTGGAGGACATTTGAACATTAACCACAGAGAGCATTTAAAACTGAATTGTAAATTCACAGGTGTCACTAAAGCACAGGGTGGGTTGGATGTCAGTTGTAACTTGGTGTTGACAGACAGCCAACAATCCGTGTTTTTCTCCTGCTACCTATCCTCCTTAATCTGGTCCAGCTAGAACTTCCCTTAGCTAATGGTTGTTCCTTTCATCAGTATGTTTGCTGCAATATACCATAGATTTTAACATGACCATCTCTGTAATCTTCTTGGACTCATCTAGTGTAATCTTGAGGGGCTGAAATACTGCAAGGAGTTTATGAACATTGTTTTAGGGCCATATTGGCCTGTTGCACCGCTGTGTGGAGATCTACACATGGGACATTTAACTCTCTTTCTTTAAAGTTTGTGTCTATGCTGTGGAAAAATGCTGATCAAGTCGTTGCTGGGTAAGCAATGAGTGCCCAGCAAGTGGGACTTTGGAGAGACTTCTGCTCACACTAATGTCTTCCTCCTCCTCTTCCTTGTCTTGCAACCTGCAGCTGAGCGCGCTTTGGACACCATGAACTTCGATGTGATCAAAGGCAAGCCCATCCGCATCATGTGGTCTCAGCGGGATCCTTCTCTGAGGAAATCCGGAGTCGGGAATGTCTTTATTAAGAACCTGGATAAATCCATAGACAACAAAGCACTTTACGACACCTTCTCGGCTTTTGGGAATATCCTCTCTTGCAAAGTAAGGCTTTACTCCCTTTCCTGTATTCCAGAAACACATGCTTGGGTCTTGTGAAGCTGGCTGGTGTAGGATCTTAACCTGGAAGTGGAGCAGAACTGGGGCATCATGCATGCGTGTGCGCGCATGCACCCGTAAAACATGTGGGTGCAGAAGTGTGCTTTCAAGTATCTGTACTACAGTTTGACTTCCTTGCTTGTCTTGGGAAGAGTAAGGTATAACAAGTCTTTTCCATGATACAATATCTAGATTTTTCCCTTACTCACTTGGTGGTGAGTTTCTCTACATCTCACGATAAAGAGGTTATTGAATTCTTTAAAATCCCAGAATTGAAAGGGGAGACTGTGGTTGCTGGAGAAAAGCTTTGGTCAGTTCGTACTTAATGAGGTTGGGGAATACTCTGGTGGTTTTTGTGTGGATGGCGCTCCAGGGTCTTTGCCTGTGACTCAGGAGGACGAATATTTGCCTTGCAGGTGGTATGCGATGAGAACGGCTCGAAGGGCTATGCCTTTGTGCACTTTGAGACGCAGGATGCCGCTGACCGGGCCATCGAGAAGATGAATGGCATGCTGCTGAACGACCGCAAAGTGTGAGTGTCTCAGCCAGCAGCGGCGGCAGCCACCGCATGAGCCGTGATGCATCCCAGTATTAACCCACAAGGCGGCTGGTTCTCCTGGCCCAAGCTTTGGCCCGCTGCCTCTACTCCAGGGCTGGTGAGTTTCCCTGCCCAAACCGCAGCCTGCTCCCCGTGGCATGAGGATCTCCTCCTTTCCCTTGGTGTGTCTCT